GAAGTAATAAAGAGTTCAGGAAAAGTTCTATTTTCAGAGTCTTCTTAATACTCTCTTGGTATTTTATTAAGAAATGATGTATATAGTTGTGTTTGATTGTGGCCAATTTGTTTTTGTTGACTGCCTTTGGTTGTCATTGTCAATCTAATTCATGGTATGTAAGGTACTGCGTATTTACTTGATTGATTTTGGTTATATAATACATTATGTGAAAATGAGACAATACTATAAATTATAATTTTATTTTGAAACACAATTGACTCGCATTGTAAACATATTAGCGAGTCACAAAATGATCATCGCTAGACTAATGTCAATAGAGTGAGCTAACGAGATTAGCCCCTTTTTGAGAGCAATTTCTACCTAGGAGCTCGTAATAAAATCATATTTTGAGCTATGATTTGGATGAATTTGGGATCATGGGAAAGTAAATACACTTGCTTTCCAAAATATGCACACAATATGGAAGTCAGAACAAAGCATGCAAGTATTAAGTGCCATGCTGCATTCTGCAGCACAGCACAGCACAGCACTGCAATTATTCGAATTTCCTCTCCATGCTATATATGCTCCCCATATTTAATTGACCAATGTGCTTCTCTGTTTCTTCAAGTCTAACACTCCCCTCCATTTCCTTTTTCTTTATATGTTTTAAACTCTGATATATTTCACATATATACATGCATCCTGCAAGACAAAGAAACACCAATTTTCAAAGAAACAGATGCCCTACTGCTTCTTCTGTCGTGTGCTTGGACCGGTCAACAGGCAACTCCACTAAATGTCGACTTTGTTTGCAAGTTGTTATCTCCCTTTAAAAAATATCAGTATCCACGTTGATTAATTTAAACCGGTACGATTTTTTTATGCACCGAGTTTGAACTACTTTTGGATTAGTTTATGTATATTACAGTAAAATAATTGTCCTGTAAAAAAAATCGGATTTTTTATGACAGAAAAAGTCCATAAACCCTAGGTTAATTTGATCAGCTAGGTTGGCATGACAATCATTGAAAAATTATGACCATAAAAAACTAGATAAAATATAATTTAACGGTGATTGCTTGAACCACAAATCGATGGTGAAATTCATCTGCAAACCTTGAGATATTATTTTAAATATTTTGCTAAAATAAAAATTAATAAAAATCCAGATCACACTACCCAATATGTTTTAAAATTCATTACAGTATCATGTGCCACTGAAATTTCTGGCACTGAAAACCATGAGCTTTTGAAGGTGTGCAGTTATTCCTCCTCACATGACAGAAAGTGGGCGTTGCATGATCTGGGCAAATTCCAAGTTTTCTTAGAACCAAAGCAACCAAGCAAAACCTGCCCTCACATGAATGCCCCAGTCTCAGCTGACCGTTTCATATTTTATTACGTGCAGCATTCAACAATGCAGCAACTTTGGTGCTAATTCTGCACAACTGCACATGATGTCCCATTCTCTAGCAATATTTAGCGGATTTGGATCCCATCCGGACTCAAATTGCAGGGATTTTAGGGATCCTCACATTTTAGTCATTCGTCGTACATCCTGCGGTTAAAAATTATTTGAATTTTATTATTTAAAATTAAACATAAATGGTAACTAACAAAAACTGATCGATATGATGAACGATTAGGATGTGAGGATCTCTAGGATTCCCATAAAAAGGATTCAAAGAGGATCTTCATCCACATTTAGCAACTAGTTGTGGGCCCTCACTAGAAATTAGATGGGCAAATCCTCATCTGCCAAATGGCACAAACCCTAGTTTTTTTTTTTTTTATGTTCAAGGGTTCAAAAAGAGATGGAAGAGTGGCTCACTACTAATCAACATCGTGGATACTATCTATTTCTACATGAGTTAGTGATGAATTTCGTTCAAGTCCAAACACTGATATGAATACAACTAATAGATGGAGACCCATTTGTGCTCAATCAACGCGCTCGAGTAGCACGTTAAAGATTTTAGAGAAACAGAACAACAATCTACTACTAATCAACGCTTTCATCGTCCCTAACATGTATTAAACACTTAATAGCACACATGTAGAGTTTAGTCACAAAATTCTTCTTTATATTTAGCAGTAACTATTCGTTATGTAAAAATAGTACTCCCTTACATTTTTAGAGTCAAGTTTCGATGCGGGATTCTTACATTCCTTAATATCTTTTCTATTTTCTAAAGTTCAATGCCCTTGTCCATAATTATTGAGTCTACTGACACTTAGTCTCCATTATATTATAACAGATTAGCTCATTATTCATGAATGACAATTGTTGAACATAAAAAAAGTCCACCATGGCTGGTTAACGATAACCTTATAAGATGTGGCATGATTCATACCTAAATTAAATAATGCTTACGATCTCTTTCGAAGTTTTATATAGGGAGATCCAAATGACTTAGAAATAGAGGCCAGTAAAACACAATGGGGGATACTGCTGGTCCAGAGTTTCCTGGCTTCCAAACTTGTCCTCACAAAGATGACAACAATGTGTTCAGAAGGCATTTAAGCCGGCTGCAACGACGAGCTCCATGTCCTCTACAGCTGAACCCTAATAACAATGCCTCTTCTGGTTGCAGTGGTATGCAAAACTCCGCGGCGAGCAGTTCAAATTCTTCTTCTTCTTCTTCGTTGAGTTCGTTCTATCAGAGCAAAGATCCCATTCCCCTACTTTCTCCTCTGGTGTTGTTGCCTTGATTGGTTCCAGAAAAAGTTGCTGAATTTTAGAAGGTTTATGTACTTTGGCAAAATGTTATCTCCTATATGATATATAAATATGTGGCTTTGTAAATTTGGGTACATTTTAAATCTACGGTAATGTGGGAACGATTTCACCATCCACATATGAGAATGCAATGTGTTGGGAAAAGCGAAGCATAACAAGTCAGACTTGTAGGAATTTTGTTGTTAACTTGATGCGTGTTAAATTAACTAACTTGTGATATGAAGAAAAATATTTGTAGCTTATTAAAGAAAAATATTTGTAGCTTATTAATTAAGAGTAGTTTTTTGTTTGCGATTAGAGTGTTGGTTTCAAGCCACGCCTTCTCTAAATATCCATTTTACAAAGAGAAAATTTAAGTTGTGATTAAGAAATCAAAATATAGTTCATGTGGAAATTAGAGAAGCACTATTGTTCTATGAATTTGCAATTTGAAAACACAAAAATATAAAATATATGCAAATAGGCCCAACTCTAGAGTGTTGTAACTTATAAGCCCAATGTTGTTCCAATAGGTGCTTTTGAGAACTCAAATCTATTGGTCCCTGTTCACATCATTACAATATTCATAAGGCACACTGTGTCATATTTTAATTGTCAAATATGTATCAGTATTGAGTGAATACTTACCCTTTTTCTTTTTTTTTTTGTTTGGAAAATTAACGGCAGAGTTTTATTCAAAGAGCAAAAAGGCCGAAGAGAGAAACACGTAAGGGGACCAGTTACACAAAAGAGAGACCCTCCTCAAGCAAAATATCAATTGCAGCTTCTAATTACTTTAGTCTAAAGTAGGAGGGAAATTGGCACTATTCATATGAACAGTGTTTTGGACCACATTTCAGTTTATTTACAAGATTGCCACTATGGTGAAGGCGGTTGGGTTAGTTCGTTTTGGGCTGTGTTTGCTGGGCTTACCTCAATTGTTGATGAGGCTGGCCCTTTGGGTGTTCAAATGATGGGAATGCCCATCTAGGGTTAGGATCGGACGACCCGGATTAAAAGTTTGGAGGATACGTTTGTCATCTTAATTGTCCGAACTGATTGGGATCGATGATGAGGGGATTGTAGGGCAGACGGGAGGCCATTATCAGTTTCTGCTACTCTCCGCAAACCCAAATTTCTTCGTATCGTTCCAGTATTCAACGACAAACCCAGATCCCTAAACGCAAATTTCTTCATTTTTTCTCTCCTCCCGTTCCTGCAGGAGCGTCAGATGTATCCAGATGAGTAGATCCTCAAGGCCACATCGTCACCAAAGTCATCGAGTACGGCCAGATGCATGTCGAGCTTCGAGACGGCGATAGCACCGACGTCGGCAAGAGCGGCGATTAGACTATCAAAAAGTTTGTCGGACTTCATCAACGAGATCAAAGATGATCAGAATGTTCTCTTTGATCTGGTCTTGGTGAGTATCGTGATCCCAACTCTTTGTTATTATTAGTTCAATTTCTCTGTTCGAGTCACTGCAGAGTTTTCTGTCACTCAAAAGCAGGAGTCACTTAGGCTCTTCATTGTTTAGCAGCTGCACTAGAAACGATTTGATTTGATTACGAGTCTTAATCTGTTTGAATAATTATATATATTGTTTGGCTGTCTGCTATACAAATTACCACAAAACAAGAAGGATTTAGTCACAAGTAAATAAAACTATAATGCTGCAAAATCTGTGTTGGGTCAATAATTGCAAGCTATTTTTTCCGAGAAACAATCAGATTATTGGATCTAAGTTGCTAATTGTTTTAATTTTGAGGCTTCAATAAAATCAGCACCCACAACTGGAGGAGTCAAGAAGCCTGACCACTACCGACTTGGAATCGTCGCTCTTCGGTAAGTTTTCAACACAATATAGTTCAAATCCTCTGAATCATGTTCTTGAATTTTACAATTATGTATCGTGTTCTTTGCATTTTGTTATTCGAACTCTATTCGTTGAATTTGGTTACCTAAATCGTGCCTAATATTTGATGTGGCCAGGGGTTTTGTTGTATGGCTGGCTGATGTGATTTGGGAGTGTTTTTAGCCAATGGGAGACAGGGGACAAAGGTGTGGGGCAGCGAAGTCACGTGGGATTAGGAATTTAGGATAGTAGAGTATTAGCTAATTTATAGGATTAGAAGTCTTCCTTTAGTTTTGTCTTGGTGTGATGAAAAAATGGGTGAGCAATTTTAACTCCTGTTTAAGGTAATAACATGTGAATTGTTATCAGGTATATTGGAACTAAATTTTTCATGATGCTCTTTCCTTTTCTTCTCAGTGAAAAAACATACTAAAGCAACAACGTTATGGTGGTGGGAATAAGCGTTCTCAGGTACGTATGGATGTGTGATATGAATTAGCTGACTGGTGTTGAAGCATCAGTCAATAAAAAACAGATAGGATCTCAAATATTGTACATTAATCCATACATAATGTTTTTGTTATCCGACCTGCATCAAGGTGAGAAAGGCCTTCTTTATTTCAGGCTCAATTATTAATTGAAAACTCAATTCATATTTTTTCATAGAAATTCCGTCATTATGCACTGCTATTTAATTGCTCTTTTTGGATTTTCTAGCCCAAAAGTAGGTCAGTGTATATTTATTTAGCTCCCCTGATTTTCTTTTTTCATTTATTTTTTGTTTGTTTTGTTGGGTGATGCAGTTTGATCGAATCAGGTTGAATTGAATAATCCTTGAAGTGACAAGAAGGAGCTGACTGAGCAAGTAATACTTCTTAATTACTTACATGTTTTCATTTTAATTTATGATTTGATTGGCCCTCATAGAAATTTCGAGCTCCATAATTGTTGGACCATTGATGTGTTATGGAGTATTGATTAGTGTAGTTGTGTAAATATAGTGTATGGGTGTTAAGTAATTCAGATGTTATAGATGATCTCAGAAGGGAAGGGGTATCCCCTTCTTCTTTTTTCTCTTGAACTCTCTCTGTCAAAAAACTAAAACATGGCCGCCAGTTTTCTTATCCTTTAATCGCCGATCTCCTCAGGTTTGCCTCAAGCCGGTGAAGGAATCAGGGGAACAGAGCCCAGACTATAAGAGGAATATTTTCACATCCCTAAATTTTTATTTTATTTTATTAATTTCAACCAGATCTGAGAATTTCTAAGTCATGGATCTATGAATAGTGTGTGTTGAGTCTCTGAGCATCTCTAATTTTTTTTTTTTCATCAAATGGTCTCTGTAGTGTCTCTATGTTTTTGTGCATCCATGTATGAATATGATCTCTGCAAGCTCATTATTGTCCTGGGAAACCACCTAAATTATTGATACCTTGCTTTCTACGTACAATGTTACCAAGTTCTATTTTCTAGATTTCTGATTTTGGGGTGGAGGGAGTGCTAATATAGTAATTTTCAGGTATTTTGTGTCTTTTGGGTAACTTTGTGATATGCAGTTGATTTTAGGAATTGATTTATGGTGGAATGCACTGACATAAGTTATTGTTTTTGTTAATGCAGATGACGGAAATTGACCCGAGTTCAAACTGAAACAATATGATTATTTTGGTTATGGTGAGAACTCAGAACCCTTTCTTAATCTTTCCTGTTTTTGGAATTGAGAAATTGGGTTAATTTTATGATGATTCACCGAGAATTTGTTAATCGCTTTAATGCATATGAGATAGGGTTTCTGCTTTGTAGGATCTATTTCTGGTCTTTAGAAATTGCTTGATTTGGTATTGTCAAATGGTATATGAATTTTCCATGTTCACTTTGTCAGTATGTTGTTGTAGTAGTTTAATTGGATGCGATATAAATTGAGGTGTTGACATGAAATCGGACACAGGTAGTTTTCCTTGATTTCACGGGATAAAGTTGAAGTTTGATTTAGGCTATAAATGATAACCAAATTAAGTTGAATGAGTTGTCACAATCAGAGACGGCTGATGGCATTTTGAACTGCTCAGATACAACTGAAGTGGAGAAGGATAGCTCAGTGGCTTCCTAAGGTGCAATGCTACTTCAGAATGCTTTAGTTCAGAAACCGGCAGAATCAAATGACAATCTTGGGCCAAGAAAGAAATCATTATCTGATATTGGGAACCTATTGGTATGCTTCATTATCCTTTTTGAACCCTGCTTTATTTTTCTTAAAGAACTAAAATGTTTTATAGTGAGTACTTTGTTCTCTGCTCTATTAATTTTCTTACCCTTATATGGGACTGTTTGCGCTTCAGAAGTATTTTTTTAAGGTACTTATGACTCCTAATTGCCATTTTGTATTCAAAATATACTCTATTGCTTCCTGGGGTTTACCCCTTGGAGCATTTCATTTTGTTTCTCCTTACTCTCTGACTAAAAAATTTTAAACCCTACATAGGTGAATGCAGATGCTGCAAAACCTGCCTTAAAGAACTATAGATGCTGAAGACAAAAAAGAAGCAAAGGATACATTACAAGCATAAGGTTGAGATGTGGAAGAGAACATTATTCTTCATTTGCCAACGCTTTTTACTGCAAATTTAATTTCTATGCTTGAAACTTACGGTGTCATATCATAATTCAATACAAATATATTTGGATTATTGGATAAGCATCAGCCAATTGGAAGGTTATTAACGTTTCTTATAAAGAAATCAAAGTCATCTTCTCATTTTTGACGTTGAAGATTTGGTTGCATTTTAATATTTATAGGCCAAGATGAAAGAAAAACATTAGGCTAATTGTTTATGAGCCCCTAAAATCTATAGTGACCTATTGGAAATTATATGATATTTTAGATGTCCTAAAGGTTAACGTGCCAAGTCATTATACTGGCACTATTCTGTTTTAGTATTTGTTGGATTAGAATGTACTCATTGTTTTAAGTGAGTATTATTTTTGAACTCTTATGGAGCTTCTTTGGCATGGTAAGTTAAATTGCATATCCTTTTTTTCGTTAATGGAATTCATTATCTTGCTATATTGGCAATTAGCAGTGTGTGACAATTGGTAAAGTGTACGAATAAATGTGTGGAAGTTTGAATTGTACAGATGAAAGTGAATTTTAACAACTCTAACGATTGAATTTGTAACACAGTTTAGCAATTTTTTTCACAACTAACTATTTCTGCCAAATACTCAAGTATTATGTCTTCTACTTTTCTACTTTCCCTTTTCTGTGTTTTCCCCATGTAGTAGGCTGATTTCATGAAACAATGAGTATCATACTGATGATGCAATATGATCTACAAATGAATGGTTTCTTATAGCATGCATATCCATATATAGCAAGCAAAGTTTCACTTAATTGGTTATTATATTTGATTTGAGTTAAACTTGAATTTCTGGATTTTTACTTTTAGTGTGTTTCTCTGTTGCAGAGTTGGCTTCATTTCATTCCAGTGACTCTTTAAATAGGTCCAAGAACTCACTAAATAGGTAATTGTCTTATATCTTCTTCCCTCTTTGTGTTTATATTTATTTTTCCTGAGTTGCGTTCGAATATGACAAACAAGAACTACAAGGGCAGCTAAGAATATCCAGCAATCCATTACCGGTTGAACAATTAATTGGCCATATGGCCATATATCTTAGTACAGTTAGGTCAGGTTTTTGGGGATGGTTGTCTTTCTATTTATTTGTTTCATTTTCTCTCATTTTGGGTATTCTTCTCTGTTCTGTGTATTTATTCTTTGTTTTAAGGTCAGCTGCCAATTTTTATTTTATGTTTTTTTTTTGTGGGTTTTCAATTCGTTAATTTGTGATTGTTTAGATTTTAATTTCTTCTTTCGTTTATGATTAAATCGATGTTGGGTTTTGGTTGTTGAAAATATGATTTTTTCTGCTTAAGCTTCTTGGCATTTTTCTGGGATTTTTAGGCTTTCAGTTGCAAGGGTAACAGAAAACCCTAAAATCCCAGAAATCGGTATTTGTATTTGTATTAATGAATTTCCATTTCTCTCCCAAAACAATTTGTTAATTGAAAATTGTTTTCTTTTTGCCGAAGGTGGTAGTGAAATTGGATTTACATAATGATAGAGAAAATAAAAAGGCCTTGAAAGCAGTCTCCAGCCTTACATGTATCAATTTTTTCTTTTAAGCATGTTGGTTTAATTTGGCTCCGTGAAAAACTTAGAATATAATAAAAATGTAAAAACAATTCTGAATTATTTTTCATTCTTCAGGACCCACTAAGTTCTTTGTATTGGTTGATAAGTTAATGAAAATTTGTCAAGTTTTATGTTTTTATGTTTGCTTATTGTGTATAAAATGATATGTGTCTGTAAAAATTGAACCTTTGGCTTATTTCTATTCAAAAATTAAATTTTTCGATCTGCTTTTTCATATTGTGGGATGAGTATTTTGTAAAAACTGGACCTTTGGCTCATACATGTGTAAACCTGAGGATTTGGAGTTGTTTTCTCTGTTGGTTATGAATTTTAGGTGACTAAATTGGTGGTTTCGTATATTAAGTTAAGTTACAAAGTAGATTTTTCCTTTGTTTTGGAAAAGTGTGTAGCTGAGATTATTTTGAAGTTCCTGTTCATTACAATATTATGATTTTGATAAGAGCTTTGTCTACATGTTTTTTGTTGAGTAATGGTTTACTTGGTTAGAAGAAACTCTTTGAGGTTATGTTAAAATCTATTTTGTGGATGAATCTAATTAGTTAAATTTGTCGGGTTTAAGTTATGTGAGAAATTTAATTGCAAAGTTGAGCCTTTTTTTTTTTTTTTTCTGAGTTATGTTAATAATTCTACCTAATTTTTTTTTGTAAATTCATGGTTGGGTTTAAGTTATATTATTAAACATGGATCATTCAAGTCTCAGTACAACTGGATGTTTGTTTACTTGCACGAATTTTTTGTGCATAGAAGTTTGTTTCTGCTTCTCAGGTTCTTTGCCCCCGTGTTTATTAATTGTGTTTTTCTCTATTCATTTGGGCTGTCTCAGTGATTGAAGATCTTAGTCAAGGTTCTTTCCCTATCATTTCAAGCTAGATTAGCTGATGAGTGATGCTCTTTGTACTGGTGCGGTATCATTGGTGCTCACTTTGTATTTTTCTAATCACTATATATCTGCTCAACTCTTGGGTCAATTATTTGCCAGTAGGAATGTTTAATTGCTTGATCAATGATGTCGATTCAATTTGAAGAAGAAATAGTACTTTTGTTCAATAGGGATTGAGACTCACATATGAGCAAGATGTCCCAATTGTTCATTGATTCTTAGGTGCTATGTCTTTTTAGTTGCTTTGTGTAGAAACTATTCATGCCTATTGCGCCTAATACATTCAAGTCCCGCAGCAACGCGCGGGCATATTTTCTCGTATGATCTAAATTGGGTTACAACTTCTGATATGGTCTAAATTGTGTTACCAATCTAAGGGTTGGGTCTTTTTGCATTGTTATTGATCAAATCTAAAGCCTTTGATCACACAAGGATATACCACAAAACCACGCATCCAAACCGCACTTAAAAGTTAAAACGACGAGAAATTTTTCAGTATGATCGGTATACAGAGTGGTACATTACGTGTTACTATACAAATGATAGAATATGTGTGTTAAAAAGTTAATAACTTAAAAAATAAAAATTTTCACCAATTAAATAAAAACATGTGGTGTATTTCGGTCATAATAATTTTTTTTTCCAAAACAATAAATCCCCGGATGCTAAAATTTACCGTTAAACTTGTAGAAAATCACAGGCCAATCATCTTATTGCCTACGACTCGTCAACTACAAATTGTGATGTGGGTTCGTCCGTGACGCTCAATACCTCACGGCTGACGTAACCTAACAACAGTCGGCACATCTTTCATTATTTCAACGTTTTAATTTAATATATTATCTACTTTTATTTATTTAATTTTTTTCCATTTCTGTTTCGACTGCTGTACTTTTTGGTGCATTACGTTTGGTGCCAAAACGTTTTTGGGTTTCAATTTTCAAAACCCTCTCGAAATATTGACCTCGCCAATCCTCGTTAATCTTCCTCTGGAAGCTCTCTCTCTCTCTCTCTCAACATCGCTGCCTGCTGGCTTCGTCTTCGTCTTCGTTTTCGTCTTCGTCTTCGTCTTCGTCTTCGTCTTCGTCTACGAAGAGTTAGGGTTTCCCCCCTTTTCTTTTCCTTGAAAGGTAAGGTTTGATCTTCTGTATATTTTGTGAAGTTTTCATTTTTCGAGTTATGATTCTTTCAATTCATCTGTTTTGGTTGTGTTTACTGGTGGATTGATCGGTTTCTGCTAATGGGTTTTATTCAATTATGGTTATCCGAGTGTTTTTAATTCAAGTTAGGGTTAAATCGGTATCCAATTCTCTTCGGCTGTCTTTAAGTTATTGAAATTTGATTTCGTAAGTTAGGGTTTCTAGTAATTGTTGCTGGAATTTAATTCGGGTGGTGTTGCTTTGATTGGGTGTTCGAGAATCCATTGATGTTCGTCACCTGTAATATATTGGGTTTGGCTGAATATAAACTTTAACAGGTTTTTTGGTGAGGAATTTATGTATTTCGAAATTACGCGTTTAGCATGTGTATGGGTTAAAGACTAATGTTTGTTATTGTGACCCAATTTCATTATAATTACAGACACAAACACGAACACATGCTAGAAGCAATATGTAGAGTGTGCCAATAATGATATCTATGTACTCTATATCAATACTGGCATGCAAACTTAAACTACAAGATTATTACCGTTGTACATTAGGATTTTTCCATTCCGTGTTATGCTTTTGCAGTTCAGGTTCATTTACGGACTTGTATGAGTTGATGTGTATATATATATTTTTTTGGATTACTTTATTGTCTCTAGAGGCCGAAATATCTGTTGTGAGAACTCAACTTTCTGTTGTGTTTATTGATATATGCATTAATTTGATGCAGAACTAAATGAGAAGGAGAGGGCCATCAAGAGAATTTTCTGAACTTAGAAGTTGTTCTGGGAAGAAAACTGTAGAAAGTTGCAAGGCTAAAAGGGATGCTGATAAATTTGTGTTCATTGATCTTGAGTGTGAAGATGTCATCGACATCGATTATCTTGAGTCTTTGCAGGCAAAGTCACGAGGTTCCAGTACATTGAGAAAAGACAGAGAATTGAAGTCTAGTAGTTTCATATATATAGATGATGATGAAGATAATATTGCAAGTCCTGTAATCACTGTTGAGGATGTTGGGGACCTCGATAGTGATGCCACCTCAAGCAAAAGTTCTTTTCTTGGTTCTAGGAAGAGTTCTGTAACCTCAGATGGTGATGAATGTCGGGGTGTCCAGGAAAAGGTTTCTCCAGTAAAGGGGTCAAGGTGCAAGCAAACCCACTCTGGTGGAGCTCCTAGCAGGAATTGTTATGGTTTCGGTTTTGAATCTGAGAGTTGTTCATCTGATAGTGATTATTCTGATTGCGAGCTAATAGAAGATTCTCATGGGAAGCTTCATCAACATTGGGAAAAAGTTTCCCAAAAGAGAAAACATGTTGTTCATAATGGCCAGTCTGGTTCAGATGGTCAATTTAGTGGATCTGGATCTCATAGTGAAACCCATGCTAATGCTGAGGCAGAGAATAGGGCAGCACCTGGAGATGTCCCTGTTTGTTCAAGTTCAAAAAATGGAAATTATGAAAAGGAAAACCTTCCAGACTTTATGGGTACTCATGATGGCAACACTGAGGGTAGTTCTTTGGATCCCCAAATGGATGGTCCTTTTGTTGAATCCAATCAGAATGCCGCTAAAGAAGATCCTCTTATTTATGAGTGGCAGGGTTTCCAAACTGATGGCATGGCTGGTTTATGGAATGAAGGAGAACAAACTCCTGAAGAGCATCCCTTGTCATCAGAACTAGGTGGTAAACAGCCTAAACATCCAGGGACTTGTTTTATGGATAACGGGCAATTTGGGGGTGAAACCAATGATGATCAAAGAAAAGCTACTGTTTTGAATAAGGAAGAATCTGTTGGCAAGAACCAACTTTGTGATGAAATGCCTAGTGACAACGATAGAGTTGAACGAAGGGGCAAGGTTGATGAATTTCATGATGCTCCTTCTAGTTCTGAGGAAAAAGTTAATGCAGTTTCTGGTCAACAATTTGATGAAATGCAGATGGATAGTGGGCGTGCTCCTTCCGAAGACAAACTTGGCGCTGTTCATAAAAAAACTTATTCCCAGGATAAAGCTAGTGCTAACTTTGAGGAAGTATCTTTGGGCAACACCTCATGTCAGGGAACTAGTTATCAGGGGGGATTTGATTCACCAAGAGGGAAAGAATCATGTGATTTGAGGGATCGGTTACCTGCCGAGGATGGCTATGTGAGTCCTGTTCAAAGAGATACAGCCATTGTTGGAAGTGATATAATCACTGATCGAGAAAAGCACAAGGAGACTGCTGAATACAAGCGAGCAATAGAAGAAGAAATGGAATCCAGGAAGCGAGTCTTACAAATTCAGGTTTTCAACATGTGTACATTACCTTTTTTGTTTTACATTTTCAGCAAAGTAAATGTTATATTTATTTATTGTGGTCTACATTAGGCACATTGGGACTATAGGCTACACAACAAGAGTCATTATGATCCCTTCTTCACAACTTGGGCTTTGTGCTATTTATTTTTTATTTATGGAGTTCATAGTATGATTTGTTACAGGATTTTTTACAAGCTCTGATCAATAATTTAAAATATGTCATATGCACGATATTTATACATGCTCATTAATCTCAGTTTGGTGCCCTATCTTTTATCTGTTTATACCCTCTGTCAAAAATTCTGTATCTTTTTTTTAATAGTCATGCATACACTTCTGTAACTTCTAGTCTTTGTTCATTTCAATGGCTTGGTTAGGTAGAAGTTGAACTTGAAAGGTGTTCTGTAGCTTGTAGGTGACCACTTGACCTGACATCAAGTGTACTTTAATTTTTTCAGGCAGAAGAGGCACAAAGATTACGGAAAAGGAGAAAGGCAGAAAGCATGCGTTTATTGGATATGCAGAGAAGGCAAAAGCAACGTGTGGAAGAAGTAAGAGAGACGCAAAAGAAGGTCTGGATTCAAGTATTCAATATTTATCGCATCTTATTTTTTACTCTGAATGTTGCTTCTCATCCTCTCGACTCCCTCCCTTCCTCTCCCCTCCCCGTACAACAGTTCTCAACTTATTTACTTTCAAGTTTAAAGGACAATCTGTTTGGTTTTAAGATCAAGTTCAATTGATTGTATATCACTGACTTGTTTTTTTTTTTTTTTTTAATTTTTTATTTATATCACTGACTTGTTAAGTGTGTCATATTTAGGATGAAGAAAATTTAAATTTGAAAGACCAACTTCGTGCTGAAGTAAGGAAGGAGCTTAAAAGATTGGAATTGACATGCATAGATATGGCTTCTTTGCTTCGTGGCTTAGGCATACAAGTGGGGGCTGATTTCCGTCCTTTGCCCAATGAGGTAAGTTAAAATAAGTTACTGAAGATGATTTAGGTTCCTTTGTAGTTTATGGTTCGATGGGTTCAAATTTGATGAACACTATCTTAATGGAAATTTCAGGTGCATGCAGCGTATAAACGGGCACTGCTGAAATTTCACCCAGACCGGGCATCAAGAAGTGACATACGCCAGCAAGTTGAAGCTGAGGAGAAGTTTAAGCTTATATCACGCATGAAGGAAAAACTTCTACCGACTTCATGCTACTGAATACATAGTTGTAAATTTTCTTCAAAATTGATCAATTTTCCAATGGCAACAGATTAGGGTTTTTTTTGGCTCCTGCCACAAGGTTTCTGATTCCTCGTTTTGTATCAGTTGTCATTTTTTTTTCAACCTGATTTTAGCAGGTAACGAAGATCTATATTGTAAATCAGTTGTAGTTTCTTGTAGGTGGCCGGAGAAACTATTGTTTCAAATGTGGAAATACAAGTACCTCTGCTTTTGTAATGCCATTTGGCCCCGAGAGCTCTTTATCATTTCAGGAATCATACTCTACAGTAATAATACCAATATGCAATTAGATAATTTACGTTAAACGTATGAATTTTCTATTTTTTTTTTTTTGGTCGAGAACGTACGATTTTCTTATAAACAATTGAAACAAACACTACTATAGTATCCATTGCAAGAAGTTAAGTACTTTTAAGCTCTCTCCATGGAAGGCAAGATGCGCCAACTTTCTTAGTTTCACCCACTTTTCACCTTCTGCCATCGAAATACTGTCTCCTAATAGCTTCTTGACATAGCCTTGGGACCTTTGTTTCCGATAGTTTCTATCTTTGTTGTTTAGTACCTCTTTGCACAACTCGGGTTCCGCGATGATCATCTGTGGTTGAACACCATACCACTGAAGAAAATTCTTCCCTGTTGCAACAAAATGACCAAACTTTATTACATATTTGAACAAAGAAATACATACATATATATGTATGTATATACGCATGCACAGTTAATGAAGAGTTTGTTACCGAAGATCTTGCTCCATGCATGAATATGAGGTTGTACTGCAGAGAATACGTCATGGGTTAAACTTCTAGGCTTGCTCATTGTTTCCCTTTTCATGCTCAATATTTCTTTGGTGTTTCCATGGATAAATTGGTAAGAAGGGCCATGGACTCCCTGGGCAGCCATCCGATTCTGTATGCGGTTTGGAGTCCACCATTGTTTCTGAAAGTTTTTTATGAGAGCTAAAAGAATTACTAGGAACAGACACAGAAAGCTTGAAGTAGTAATTAGAGGCATTTCGAATCCCAACCAACTCATTCTCCTTTTTTTTTACTTTTGGAATATAAGTTCGAACACACCTCTCGACCGCTCTCAATAGTTTGATTTTCTGCCTCCACTCTCACTAACTGAATAACAGAGCTGGAATGGATGATATAAAACGTACAACATACATTCCTTTATATAGGGTGCTTAATAACACAAAAGCCTTGCATTAAGTTCATGACATGGACGAAGAAAATCAAACAAGGCTGCGCAGGACAAATTAAACATACCAGCTGACAGCTGAACATCCAATGGTTTTACCATATTTTAGCCCATCCAAGTTGCAACGTTATATTCTATTTTGTGAATTTATTTCACATTACACCTCCATTACATTGTTCGTCAGTTTCATGTAAGATTTTGCCATGTGTTTGAGTTTGCCACATCATTTTATAAGTGTTATATTAAATAAGAAATAAAATTATACATGTATTAGGAGATAAATAATATAATTATTTATATCAAAATTGATTGGGAATAGAACTCTGAGGGAGTGGTTTAAGCCACTCACATTATGGGATGACAGTTTTCCTTAATAGGAGGAAAGTGTCAACAATTGATATATATGGATTTGGTCTCTCCTTCTCTCACAATCACATTCATACTGAGAACCTTGTCCTATTGAGAACTGAACACAAGATTGCAGAGAGGAGAAGATTGACTCTAACTTGGAATGATGAATTCTTCAAGTAAGTTTAAGTGATAGAAAGTTCTATATACGATTATTATATTAATACGCACTACACACGTTTGCAATAATTAAAAAAAAAAAAAAAGGAAAATTAGAATCCCCTGCACTTTTCTAATACTTTTTAGATTAAACATTGGTTCTATTTTTAAATTTGATTAGGACGCCTAAATAATAGCCATGTCAGCATTTTAATATTTATTTAGATTACATGTAATTATTGTGTTTTTTTTTTTAAATTTAAATTGCCAATTATTATCCTTTAAGGTTGATATATTTTTGTATGTGGCCTTTTTTTCTAGGAAGCCAGTTTCTTCTCCCACGTTTGAGTTGTATGGTTTCTTCTCCCACGTTAGAATTTTGTGATCCTCATTTCTGAATTTTGAATGGACTTATCCATTTCAATTAGTGGTTGTTTTCACTATTTTATATTGATATCATGTGAGATAATTAGACATATTTTCTATTTTCGGAGGCTTGAGGCTGGTACGTTCATATAATATATTTAAATGTACTCAATACGTACCAAGAAGATATTTAAAGTAACTTACCAAATATGTTCTTTTTAAATAAATATAAACGTACCAAAATAATATATAAATGTACCAAATACATACAAAAAAGAAATATGAACGTACCAAATACGTACCAAGAAGATATATAAAATAACGTACCAAATATGTACTAAGGAGAAATATCTGTTTAATCAAGAGGAAATATATGTACCAAATATGTTTTTTTTTAAAATAAATATAAACGTAACAATGTGGCACCTAAATTGTAGGAAAATGTTTAATCAAAACTCTAAAAAGCATAAATATTTAATCTCAAAATTTTAAAATCTAGGCATCCGTATCAAACACGCCCCCCCCCCCCCCCCCCCAAAAAAAAGAGACCATTTATCACTATCGTCTGGAAACACAATATTGAGTTCCCCCAAAATGCATGCGCTTCTATTCCATCTGCAACAGAATCACATGTATCCCAACAGGATCCTCGTTGTGAGGATTTTGGAGATTCATGAATCGTGTCTGTTCATCGTACATCATGTAGTTAGTTTTCATCAGGTATTGTTTGTGTTCAATTTTAAATAAAAGAATTTAAAATGGTTTCTAACCGCATGATGTACGATGAAGAAACACGATTCAAGAATTTTCGAAATCCTCTCAAAGAGGATCCGGATTCACATGTATCACATGAAAAGGGAAAATGTCTATGATTAGCTTTTATTAATGAGTAATGCTATGAAAATTAATTTTTAATTAAATTATATAAAATATATAACGTGGTTATTTTACTTAAGTTTTGAAGAACATGTTTATTTCTTATAATTTAAAATTTTGATCGAAAAAATTGGTTTGCATAGCATTATTCTTTATCAAAAGATTATAGTTTCACAACAGTGATGAAGCCACAAAAACGCAAGGAGGTGCGGCTGTATTATATGCTTATCGTGAAGTCAGAGACTAATAACCGATTGCATTTAAATCTTTGTCACACCAAACTACATAAAAAGCACTGTCAGCTCCTTTGGTCTATTTTCTTAGCTTGTTTCTGAACTAGCAAGCAAAAAACTTCTTATAAACTATTAAATTTTAGACCGTAGATGTAACATCTCACATCGTTTAGGGGAGTGGATCATATAAGTTTTATATGTATATTCCTATCTCTACCTAGCACGAGGGCTTTTGGGAGCTCACTGACTTCGGGTTTCTTAGGAACTCCGAAATTAAGCGAGTTCGCGTGAGAACACTCCTATGATGGGTGATCTACTGCCATTGGGAAGTTCTCGTGTGAGTTCCCATAAACAAAACCGTGAGGGTATGGTCGGGACCCAAAGCGGACAATATCGTGCTACGGTGAAGTCGAGCCTGAGATGTGGTGGGGGTCCGGGTCAAGAGGTGACAATTTGGTATAAGAGCCAATTCCTGGCCGAATGTGTACCGATGAGGACGTCGGGCCCCTAAGGGGGGTGGATTGTAACATCCCACATCGCCCAAGGGAGTGGATCTTGTAAGCTTTATATGTATATTCTCATCTCTACCTAGCACGATGCCTTTTGAGAGCTTACTGGCTTTGAGTTCAGTAAGAACTTCGAAGTTAAGCGAGTTCACGCAAGAACACTCCCATGATGGGTGACCCACTGTGAAGTTCTCATGTGAGTTCCTAAAAACAAAACCGTGAGGGCATGGTTGGGATCCAAAATGGATAATATCGTACTACATTGTTGTCGAGCCCGGGATGTAATGAGGACCCGGACCAGATTGTGACAGCAGATGACTGAAAATGGAATTTGAAAATCGCTATTCTATTAAATTTTAGGCTATAAAATTAATGTAAGCGGCTTATGATTGATATTGGTATTATGTTGTGTAAGGGGTACTACTAGTTCTCACTTTTTGAAGATTTGCATGTCCTGATGGTGGTTTGCTCCATATTCTTTGAAGATTTGCTGCATAATGGTGTTTATTTAATATTGGATTCTCAGTTAGTATTAGAATTGACATACAATGCATACTTGTTTCTCTGTTGAGAAATGTTAAGGAAACTCTTTCAAAGTAAGACTTTTTATAAACTCTTCGTTAGACTCTCTGTCATCTCATGTTTTTGACATAATAGAGTCATTTCTTTATTGAGAAATGCTAAGGAGACTCTCTATAGACTTTCTGTCACCTCATATTTTTCGCACAATAAAGTTTATACTTTTAAGAGGTCTTAGCATTTCTCTTCTTTGTTTAGAAAAGAAATTTAAAATTAATATGCACTACACATATTTTGCAATAATTATAAAAAAAGACCATTTATCACGATCATTTGAAAACACGGAAAGGAATCCTCTTCGGATCCTAACCTCCTAATCTATCAAGTCCGGGGATCCGGGCCATTGAAATTTGATCTAACGGCTAAAATTATTTTAACCTTTTAAAGTAGGCCCCTATTTGTAGCCGTTGGATCAAATTTCAATAGTCCAGATTCTCAGACTTTGTGGATTAGGAAAAAGGGATCCAGACCTTTCCTGAAAACACAATCTTGAGTTCTCCTAAATGCATGTGCTTATATTCCATTTGCAACAGAATCACATGTATCTCAACAGGATCATCTCCGAATCTTCTTTGTGAGGATTCTGGGGATTCGTGAATCGTGTCTGTTCATCGTACATCGTGTGGTCAGTTTTTGTCAGGTATTGTTTATGGTCAATTTTAAATATAAGAATTTAAAATGATTTTTGACCGCACGATGTACGATATACGATGAAAGAACACGATTCACGAATTCTTGAAACCTTCACAAAAGGGATCCGGATTCACACGTATCACATGAAAAGGGAAAAGGTCTATGATTAGTTTTTATTAATGGGAAAAGGTCTATGATTAGCTTTTATTAATGAGTAATGCTATGGAGATTAATTTTTAATTAAATTTGATAAATTATATGACGTAGTTGTATTACTTAAGTTTTAAAGAATGTGTTTATTTCTTATAATTTAAAATTTTGGTCGAAAAAGTTGGTCTGCAGAGCATTATTCTTGTAGGTGGCTAGAGAAACTATTGTTTCAAATGTGGAAATAGAAGTACCCCTGCTTTTGTAATGACATTTGGCCCTAAGGTTTTTCTGGGCAAGAAATTTTAGTACCTTTGCTTTCTTTGGCCAACCTACGTGAATATTGAGAAGACAATAGATTTTCACTCTTTTTAGACCATCTCCAATCGAAGGGTCCAGAGGGTTGAAAAATGTCTCCAACTGAGGGCTAGATTAGAGGGCTTGTGGGGCTCACTGAATCTGAAAGGGCTAAAGGGACAACCAGTTGGCCACTTTCAGCCAGCTTGCTGGCTAGCCCAATTTCAATTTTTTTCTTCTGTCGTTCTTTTCCATTAGGCTAGCCTAGGGCTTAGTTTTTTTTTTTTTTTTCCTTCTAATTTTTCCTACACCATTTCTCACATATTTTCACTATTTCATACTATATTACCTCATTTTATTTCAATTTTTCACATTCCATATTATAACCCCTTGACCCTCCGTTGAAGACTGTTTTTTGTGACAGGGCTAAAACGAGCCCTATGGTCCTCAATTGGAGATGGTAAGGTCATTTCCAACCGAAGAGTCAAGAGGGTCAGATGGCTGAAAATAGTCTGAAAACCGTCTCCAATCGAGGGTTAGGCTAGAAGACTCGTGGGCCTCAAGGAATCTGAAAGGGCCAAAGGGCTGGCTGCAATCCGGGGTTGGCCAGAAATTCAAAAGATCCTGTTAGTTATAACTGACAAGAATGCTTAAAAAAAAAATTTGAATCCAACGGCTAACTGATTTGTGAGATCCCACATCGACCAACGGAGAGGGAATGATATGCCTTATATGTACATACTCCTCTCTCTATAGCACGAGACATTTTGAGGACTTACTGGCTTCAGAATCCATCGGAACTTTGAAGTTAAGTAAGTTTGGGCAAGAGCAATCCCATGATGGGTGACCCACTGGGAAGTTCTCGTGCCGAATTCCCAAAAACAAAACCGTGAAGGAATGGTAAGCCCAAAACGGACAATATCGTGCTACGGCAGAGCCAATCCGGGATGTGACATTACTGGCCATTGTATTCAATTTTTTTTTTGGGCCAATTTTTTTTTTAAAATTCTTAAAAATTTTAATTTTTTTTCCCTATAAATACCGAAACCATTCATTAAATTTAAATTCTAATTTTTTGGACCTATTACCGTTGTAGTTTTTAAATTTAAGTTGTTGTAGTTTTTAAATTTAAATAATAAATTATGTTTGACTCTATAGCCATTTGACCCTTAGTTGGAGATGGTTTTTTATGACAAGGCTAAAAAGAGCCCTATGGCCCTTGGTTGGAGACGGAGGCAAATATGACCCTATATTGTTCATTAAAATATTAATATCTTAAATGGCCAAAGGGCTAAAACGAAGCATCTGGCCAACCCTCGGTTGGAAATGGCTTAAGCAATATGACCATACACTATTCATTAAAATATTAATTTATTGGAGGGCTAGAGGGCAAGCCTATGACCAGCCTTCGGTTGGAGATGGCGTTAATCTCTCGGACACCCCATTTTGTTTCTGAATTCGGAGGACTGCGGGGGCGTGTGTTTTTCCAATCGTTCTTCTATGCACGAATCATACGATAGTCATAAGGCAGGGGCAGGGGAAAGAAAGGCAGCGAAGGGGGGGAACCCCTACGTAGAAGAACAACGGTTCGCTGACTTTTTAAGGTCTAACAGAGAGCAGCTGCCTAGCTATGCCTGGATTGAATAAATCAGTTTGTCGGCATGTCTTCGATATTTGTTATGGTTGATATTATAGTCAGGGTCAGGCTTTTTGTTTCCTTAATTGACTGTAATTTTATTTTTTTTTAAATAAAGATACCTCAGTATAGTAGTTTTAATAACCCACCCTCTCTCCCAACACCTTTTTTTTTCCTTCCTCTGTATAGCAATTTTTCATCGGTCATCACATGTATAGAAGTTAGTTGTTCCAATTGATGAGCTTGAAAGTTGAAAGCCGACCCGTTACTTGATAGAAACGAATGATGGTCGGAAAAAAGTAATTTGAAAACAAATTAAAATTGTTATTAGTAGCAAGAACTGTAATCATCACACAAGAATAACTGAAAAAGAAAGCACTATATGTTGAGTCCTATCCACAACTAGAGGAAGAATTTTAGCACATTACAACAAGTGCTGGATTTATTTGCAGTTCTGGTCTTCAGAGCTCATTCACACTGGGTGTAGGATCACTTGAACTCCATGTTGCGGGCGAACTGTCAGAAACTGAATGGGACAGTGCACATAACCCGGGGAAAGAGTGAAACTGTAGCGTTGCAGAATCATCGACAAAGCAATCTTTGCTTCAATGACTGCGAAGTTCATGCCCACACAAGTTCGAGGTCCCATTCCAAAGGGCATGAATGCAACTGCGTTGTTGTTAGTAGCTTTCGCAACTCCTTCTGAGAATCTCTCCGGTTTGAAAAGTTGCACGTCTTTTCCCCAATATTTAGGTTCATGGTGAAGTGCCAGATTTGTGACGTGCAACTCAACATTAGCGGGAACAACGACCTGTCCTAGTCTAACTTCCTTTAGAGATTCCCTAGTAAGGGACACAACTGGAGGATATAACCTTAGAGACTCATTGATGATCATACCCATCTGCATGCATCAATAAATATAAAAATCAAAGTTTGATAACGCATCGATCGAGAAGTACTTAAATTTTTAATGTGCTTAGTAAGCCCTTAGGATTGATTTTCTTACCGTTTTTAGTTTGTTGAGGCCATCTGAGTTTGGAGTTTCATCTTTACCAAACAATTCTAGCACCTCCTTTCTAGCTTCCTCTTGCCAATCTGTATGAAGAGCCAGAAGAAAGACGGTCCAAGCAAGCAAAGAGTTAGTGGTTTCTTGTCCTGCAAAGTAAAACGTCTTGCACTCGTCGACTAAATCGTCCACTGAAATCCGCTGCTTCTCGTTGGCATCATGATGAGCCTTTAAAAGTATTCCAAGATAATCACTTCCAAAACCGTCCGCTTCTCCAGTCATTGCTGTCTTTTCTCTTTTCCGAACAATCTCTGTTATGATGTCGCGTATTCCTTTCTCGAGCTTCTCTGATTTTATCTCATCACTGGTTTTATAGAACATACTGCAAGTTTGAATCACAGACTAATTATACATATGAAGTGACAATAACACTCATAAGTGACACAAATAGTTACATAGTTAATTTATTAATGTAAAGCGTACATCGTAAGAGTTCTTTCAATATTCAGGTGGCCTTGTTCTTTACTCTTATTTTACATAATGATCAGTTAAAAATATTCTACAGATAAAAGGGACATCGTATTGGTAAGAAATTACCTGATGCCAGGGAGCCTGAGTTTGAAAGTATTTCTGAATATTAAGGAGGTTAACTCCCTCAACATTTCAAAAATGTCCTTTCCTTCTAAGAAGCTGCTGCCAAATGCTGTCCTAGAAATCACTTCTGAGGTGAAAAACCTAAATTCTTCATTCACCTCAATCTCCTTGCCTTCATAAGTTTTCCACCTTTGTACCATTGTCTCAGAACTCCTTATCATTTCAGGAATCATATTCTACAGTAATAATACCAACATGCAATTAGATAATTTACGTTAAACGTTTGAATTTTCTATTTTTTTTTTTTTTTTGGTAGAGAACGTATGATTTTCTTATAAACAATTGAAACAAACACTGCTATAGTAACCATTGCAAGAAGTTAATTACTTTTAAGCTCTCTCCATGGAAGGCATGATGCGCCAGCTTTCTTAGTTTCACCCACTTTTCACCTTCTGCCATCGAAATACTGTCTCCTAATAGCTTCTTGACATAGCCTTGGGACCTTTGTTTCCGATAGTTTCTATCTTTGTTGTTTAGTACCTCTTTGCACAACTCGGGTTCCGCGATGATCATCTGTGGTTGAACACCATACCACTGAAGAAAATTCTTCCCTGTTGCAACAAAATGACCAAACTTTATTACATATTTGAACAAAGAAATACATACATATATATATGTATGTATATACGCATGCACAGTTAATGAAGAGTTTGTTACCAAAGATCTTGCTCCATGCATGAATATGAGGTTGTACTGCAGAGAATACGTCATGGGTTAAACTTCTAGGCTTGCTCATTGTTTCCCTTTTCATGCTCAATATTTCTTTGGTGTTTCCATGGATAAATTGGTAAGAAGGGCCATGGACTCCCTGGGCAGCCATCCGATTCTGTATGCGGTTTGGAGTCCACCATTGTTTCTGAAAGTTTTTTATGAGAGCTAAAAGAATTACTAGGAACAGACACAGAAAGCTTGAAGTAGTAATTAGAGGCATTTCGAATCCCAACCAACTCATTCTCCTTTTTTTTTACTTTTGGAATATAAGTTCGAACACACCTCTCGACCGCTCTCAATAGTTTGATTTTCTGCCTCCACTCTCACTAACTGAATAACAGAGCTGGAATGGATGATATAAAACGTACAACATACATTCCTTTATATAGGGTGCTTAACAACACAAAAGCCTTGCATTAAGTTCATGACATGGACAAAGAAAATCAAACAAGGCTGCGCAGGGCAAATTTATCACCTATTTTTTGTCTTATATAAAAGGTATGGACTGTTGGCAATTTTGGTGTGCTAATAAATGCTCACATTGAAAACATTGGTAGATTTTTCAATACCCACGTAATAATGTGGACTTTGAAAATAAAGGAGAGGTATGGACTATTGACAATTTTGGTGTGTTAATAAATGCTCACACTGATATTGAATACATTGGTAGGTTTTTCAATACCCATATAGTAATGTGGACTTTTGAAATGAAGGAGATCGTATTTTTCAAAAGTTGTGTGTTGGAGTTGCTCTATAAATAGAGCACTCCGTTTACTATCAAAATACAGAGTAAAAAAGGAAATATTAATAATATCATTATCTATTCCTACCTTCTTTATTTGTCATCCTCTTGTGTTATAGTTACAGTGTAATATTTTACACTACTTCGCTCCTATCACTGATAAAAGTTATTTCTCTAACTTTAAACTATTTATAACATGGATCTTATTTAGATATCTGCCATTTCGATCATTATTTCCTCAAAATTCTATAATCTTGTCTAATTAAATCGGATAAAGTTTACCTTTTGTTTAAAAATATTACTTTAATCGTTTATTTTTTGAGTTCGTTTTCGATCATGGCTATAGTTGTGAACTTTGTCTAAATTATATTAGAATTCATTAGAAAATTTGTCTGTACTTTGCTGTGGCCATTCAATGTATTAGTCACAACAAGCTTACAAGCATGAATTGTTTCCACAAAGCAACTAAAAAAGACATTGTAGTACCTAAGAACCAATAAAGTTAAACTTTGTTTGCTATATATGGATATCCATGCCATAAGAAACATTCATTTGTAGATTGTATTGTGTCATCAATATCATAGTTTCACGTAATGAGATTAGTACATTGAGGAAAAACACAGAAAAAGAAAATTAGAAAAGTAAAAGGCATAAGACTTAAGCATCCAGTAGGAATAGTAAATTTCTGAAAAAATTGCTAAAATGTCTTATTAAGATAGGGTCGTGTAATATTCTGTATATTATGTTTACCTAAAGTAGTTGGTGTGAAATCCCATTAAAAGAGGGATTTCCTAGGCTTTATTGTAGATTAGTTGGCTTAGTCGTGTGTATATACTGAACTCTTACTTGGGCAATGATATATACAAAAACTATTCAGTCAATCACTTTCCATAGCCGTGCAATATACTATTCATTCATTTAATATGGTACACAGAGGCTAAGATCCTATTCAAACAATTTAGGTATGGATTCATTAAACCCGTTCTATGTTATCATTCTAGTCACATGCTAGTCACAAAAAAATTGAATGGATCCAATTATCCATCTTGGAATAAATCCATGGTTCATGCTCTCACCGCCAAAAACAAAAGGGGAGTTTTAACGAAAAATCTGTGATACTATTCACTTTAACGAAAAATCACATTTTTTACACTAAAAAGTCAAACCTGATACTATTCACTTTACCCTTTATTTTGTCCTTATCGTTAAAACTCAAAGTTTTCAAACCACTTTCATTAGTTTTCCTAAAACAAAATTGGTTTTGTTGATGGCTCCATTCAGCCTCCCTCAGCAACAGATCAACCAAAAGAATATGCTCTCTGGAATCAATACAACAATATGATTTTATCGTGGTTCGCTCGATCTGTGGAGGGTGATCTTTCCAAAGGAGTTGTTCATGCCAAAAGCGCCCAACAAATATTGAAAGATTTCGTCAAGCCTACTCACTCATTATTCAGGATGAAACACAACGACAAATGTCATCGGGGTCGACCGAAAATTTCTCCATTGCTGCTGCTGTTCAAAATCAACCAAACCATTCTTCCAACAACTCTAAAAATCTTCATTGTGAATACTGTGATAAAGACGGTCATACAATTGGAGGCAGATTGTTTGCCCTTCCCATCCCCTTCTATATTGTGCGGTTACGGTTAAATCACGTCAACATTTTATATTGACTTTTTTTTTTATAGAGATAATAAGACAAAAAATAATAGGAATATAAAATGTTGACGTGGCTTAACCGTGATCGCACAAATAGGAGGGGATGGAAAAAACATGGGAAAAGGAGGGTAGACAATCTGCCTCCCATACAGTTGACAATTGTAGGACTCAAAAGTTCCATTGCAAGTTCTGTGATAAGCGAGGCCACACTGAAGGCAGATGTAGATTTAAAAATGGAACAAACAGAGGAAATCCATGGTTGGCTTCTCTGCCTTTCCACTTCTCATGCACTCTCATCCCCTTTTATTTGTGCGGTCACTATTAAGCCACGTTAATATTTTATATTGCTATTGTTTTTTGTCTTATTATCTCTATAAAAATCAATATAAAATGTTGACATGGTTTAACCGTGACCGCACAAAATAAGAGGGGATAAAAGTGTATGGAAAGTGGGAGGGCAGAGAAGCCGGGTCCATATGGGAGGTAGATTGTTTACCCTCCTTTTACCATGCCCGTAGAAAATTGAGTCATTTGTGATAGCAACCCAACCTATAGATTGGGGATCCCAAGAAATAGGTTCAAAGGGTAATAACAAGTCACAAGTGATATGAGTGAAGTCTTACTAATTTTAATTTGGAATATTATTCCATGTCCATCCCTAAGAAGCATGACATCCTGAAACATTTTTAGGTTGAGATTTTTTTTCCTCTTAGTAAGGTCTATACTCTATGTTGAGTGGGATATCTAGCTACAAGAATATCCTTGATAGTCTTACCTATGTGAATGTGGAAGTGAGGCCGCTTCCTATGAAATCTTGGGCAAGTTTCTAGAGCGTTCACTGTACTGGGATACAAGCACGTGGCCGTAATGTACTGGCTTTTTGAACTTCACCTTAATAAGGTTATGTGTGTGGTGTTGTCAGAGATAGAGTTCAAAACTATAAGTTACTCTAATATAGTCTGGATCACTAACACTATGTACATGTTCAAGTTGAGAAACACCTTTACTTATGCATAGCTTTATAATATGTTGCTTGATATACGGTTTTTTAAACAAAAACAAGTGGGGGATTGTTGGAGTAAATATGTTTTTATTTAAATGTTTAAATATATATATATATATTTATGTTTTGCTTAATTACCAATATTATATGCATAACAGTCAATTTATTTTGGCCTTATCAATTAGATAAGGAGTTATCTCCTCTTAAATATGAAACGTGTGATTCCTTTTCTATATAGAGAAGAAGATCATGTCATTAAACATATTCAAACCGTTTTGCTTTTTTCCGTGCGATTACTTTACATTTTGTTTTTTTGCCGTTTTGTCATGCTTTTAAGCTTTCATTAATCTCTTAAACCCTCAACGTCTCTTTCTTTTATAAGAAAACTAATGAAAATGGCTTGAAAACCTTGAATTTTAATGATAAGGACAAAATAAAGGGTCAAGTGAATAGTACCATGATTGACTTTTTAATGTAAAAATGTAGTTTTTCATTAAAATAAACAGTATCGTGGGTTTTTCGTTAAAACTCTCTTCTTTTATAGTATATATTGTAATAACCCGTCCCGGGATTTACGGAAGAAAATGGGTATTTTTGTATTTTCACTAAGTTTGGGGAATACTTTCTTTTTTAAAATTGTTTTTGAGCCTTAATTGGTGAGCCCAAGGGGCCCACCCCCTGTTTTGTCCCCCGTTCCCTTTCCCTTTTTTTTTTTTTTTTTTTTTTTTTTGAAAAGTCTCTCTTCTCTCTTCTCTCTTTCTTCCTCCGTGCTCTCTCCTTTCCCCTCATCTCGGTGCTCTTTTCTCCGACAAGAACACACACACACACACACACACCCATGCCCATACCTATAGCTCTTTTCTAACCCCGTGGTTGTGTATTGGACGTCAAACCATGAAGAAACCACCTCGGAGACATTTCCTCAGTTTTCCGGCGAGCACCGCCCCTTTCGAGGCAATTTCTGGCCAAACCACGACAAGTTGGCTGGCGTGCAAGGTATCAATCTCTTCGTCTTGCTGAGTACTACAACTTTCCTATTTGGTTCACCCAATTTCATTGAGTATTGAAGATGTTATGCTCATTTGAATCTTACCTAGTTTTCGGCAGACACCCGTGGCTTCCAGGCTGTTTTCCGGCCAACTCCGACCACGATGACGGGAACCAAGGGTATATTTCAATTCCTTACCTTCGGGGCTTCAATTTGGTATATTGAATGACATGTTTTGGTTGAGTTTTGAGCTCCATCGGAGCATGGGAATTCTCCGGCCGAAATCCGGCCTTTTCCCTCCTTGGAATCCGGCGAATCACCAAACCCAAGGCCTTTGGGCCTTTCCTGCCAAGCCCAAAACCCTGGGCAGCCCAACCCAACCTTTTTATTTATTTTATTTTGTTTTGTTAATTAAATGGCCTTTGGGCCGTTTCCTTTAGGGCCTTCGGCCCATTAACCCTAAACTCGTTAGACCCAAACCCTTTAGGCCCAAACCCGGATCCAACCCAAGTCTAAACCCTTTAACCTAACCTGGATCCAAGCCTAGACCCGTTTGACCTGTTGACCCGGACCCGGACCCGGTCTGACCGTTGACCCGGTCAACGGTCAGTGTTGATTTGACTTTGACCGATCATCGTCAACGTTGACTTTGACCGTTGATTTTTTGGGTTTTCGTGCGGGACCCATCCTAGGCTAATTTCGACGTCCTGAACCCGTTTCCTATGTCCGTTTCCCCAAATTCAATCGTTTAAGTAGAGTTTGACTAAATGTACCATTTATGTGCTTAGGGGTAATTATTTGTGGCGTTTCCTTTTTCGCTAGATGGCGTGGCTTTTCGACGGCAAAGTACTGTGAGTGGACCCCTTCTAAAAATGCATGTTTTGATAGTAGAAATGCATACATGAAAAACATGATTTGATGATTATGTTTTATGAAACGTTTTACAAGATAACATGCTT